TTGGGACCATCAAATAGCATGCATTTAGGGAGACTGTGCATTTAGGGAGAGTGCATTTAGGGAGAGTTCACTGTATTAACAATTAACTGTTACACGTTTGTATGATGTAACACAGACGCGCAGCTCGATTTGTCTACTCAAAAACGCGTTATTATTATTTACACTTATTTGTATATATAGTGTTTGTTTATATTTTTCCACTCTTCTTTGAATTAATTTTCACTATGAAGCCTATTTCTGAAGAAACTCATAATAAAATTGTTTCCCTACTACTACTTGATAATAATAATGGACTTTCTTCATATAAAATTGCTGCACAATTGAATATTAGTCATGCAACTATGGATAGTATTAGTATGTCAAGACCAAACATAAAAAAAGTCAGGATGGACAGCCTAAGCCACCCAAACCCACTGAAATATGAAACTTCTCAGTTAATATTAATGTCAGAATTTGATGACTTGGTCATTGTATTATTACTATTATATTATACCAGACAACTGAGCCATGATGAAACCCAATGATAAAACATTCATGTCTGCTGATATTAATATGGGACAAAAACATGTTTTTTTCACAATGATCTTAAACATACACTAAAAGATATTCTATTATATTATTATTATCTATTATTTATTCTTGTCTTTCTTATTCTATAATTATAATATGATTCATGGACAACAAAAAGACCCTTCATTTATCATTAACAAATGCAGCACTTATCTTCCTAATTAATAATTAAACCCCACTGATCATGCTAAACGCCTCCAAACTCATTCATATTCAACCCATCAACTATTCTTAACTCTCCCCCTCTACTTTTACTCCCTTCTTATTCTTACATTTATCCCTATCCATCTCCTAAATTTCCTTACTCTTATTATTATCCCTGAAGGTGACTTTGAAGATGAGTTTCATTTACTGGATTCAGGAGCATTTGGAAGACTAAGATATAGATATAGATAGCAGTCACTGAACATGTTTCCATGTTAATATGAAAGATTGTTCTATTCTGCTGCAGACATTTAGTAAAGAAAATGATGAATTTGAAAGGCAGAAAGATCATTATATATATATGGATGATGTTAAAACAGTAAAAGTTATCCCTACTCCTGAAGGTGACTTTGATTTCAAAATGTTCATTTACTGGATTCAGGAGCATCTGGAAGACTAAGATATAAGATAGCAGTCACTGATGTCTTCATGTTAATATGAAGGGTTGTTCTATTCTGCTGTAGACATTTAGTAAAGAAAAAATGACAAATTTGGAAGGTAGAAAGGTCATTATGTGGATGACATTAAAACAGTAAAACTTATCCCTACTCCTGAAGGTGGCTTTGATGTTCAGGATGAGTTTCATTTACTGGATTCAGAAGCATATGGAAGACTAAGATAGCAGTCACTGAACATGTTTCCATATTAATGTGAAAGGTTGTTCTATTCTGCTGCAGACATAGACATTTAGCAAAGAAAATGACGAATTTGGAAGGCAGAAAGTTATTATTATTATATGGATGATGTTAAAACAGTAAAAGTTAAATCAAAAGATATCCCTCTTCCTGAAGACTAAGATAGCAGTCACTGAACATGTTTTCATGTTAATATGAAAAGTTGTTCTATTCTACTGCAGACATTTAGCAAAGAAAAAATGACAATTTTGGAAAACAGAAAGGTCGTTATATGGATGACATTAAAACAGTAAAAATTAAATCAAAAGATATTCCTATTCCTATTCCTGAAGGTGACTTTGATGTCCAAGATGAGTTTTGTTTGCTGGATTCAGGAGCATGTGGAAGACTAATACTAAGATAGCAGTCACTGAACATTTCACAATTGACTTTATAAACAGAAGTCTCAACTCCAGTTGAAGTAGGCAAACAGTTGGAATTGTTAATAAATTTCTGAACACTGCAGCTGGTGTAATGCCTTGTGTGTAATAATAAATGTGTTATACAAACACTTCAGGAAAGGCAGATAATGCTGCTCAGCTCTCTTGTGAACTGAAGGAGAGTGGCAACATAATAATAATAATGTTGAGCACCCAGACAGTGTGTTGTGCTTTAAAGGAAACTGGTTAAAGGCTGCAACAAAGAAGAAAAAGCCTCAACTTCTTATTCTATGGTGTATGGTGACTCTCATCTACAAACTGCACAAATATCACATGACTTTCAAACTTTATAAGTTAAAAACAAATAGATAAACTTATTGCAAATATAAACTGATAGAATAATAAATTAAAACAAGCTGAACATTTTTATAAAATGTTATGTAAATTTTTAAGTTATTATGGTTTAAAATTCAGTGAATTTCTATATTATATATTATATACAGTGTGATAAGAAAAAAATTGGCCTCTGCTTTTTTTACAATAACTTCATACAAACTTCTCGATTTTAACATGGAATGGCTTGTTTGAAAGCTATAATAATAAAGCAAGGTTTTTACCAGTATAAAAAACATCTTTTATTAATAATCAATTTGTTCACCATTATTATTGTTGTCTATTACTTGCATTGATGAAATAAGAAATGGCATACGTTTTTCAACATGACGTTTAACAATTTCCCACAGATTTTCAATAGGATTAAGGTCTGGACTATTAGAAGACCAGTCCATAACCTCAGGGAAGTTTTCTTTTAAAAACTCCTTGGCTACTGTCGTGACGTTACACGTGGGAGAGCGATCGTGTAACCTCCTTGAGGTTTAGCGTCTTCCAACGGTCGTTATCGGCAACGCCTACTAATGCTAATTCTTCTAAACAGTTAGTGACCTTTTAACA